GGAGGGAATTTTGACTATTGTACCCTTATTTATATTTCAAAATAATTTATCTTCATATACTTACTCTATTGAGGTGTTTGTAGTCTTTAAGAACAACTATGACCAAGAATAAAATGGAAAAAAGTTAACTTTTGTCTTAAACTTTTAAAATAACAAATAATTTAAGATATCTATTTTTAAAAATTATGACAGATAATTTAAAAAGAAAATACTAAATACATATTTTATCTAATTAATAACTAGCTTGTGTAGGTCTTCCCCAGTTATGACACAAATTTTAAAATGTATAGAGTTGGAATTTTGAGTTTTGAATGACGTGCATGAGACGAAAATATGAGAAATAATATTAGGTGAAATTAATTAATTAATTAAGACGTGCAGACCTTAATTAACGACATTTTTTGAATTGATAGAACTCTATAAATTGTTATGTTAGCCAATGAGTGTACTGAGCCCACGGTGCGTCGAACTCCTAAATATTTCGATGGTCTATTTCCACTTTATATTTATAAACTCATTTCGCTAGTTTGAGAGTGTAAGATATTATTACAATATCGATTGTTAATCATGGTTGATGTATAAATTATCGTCTCTTTAAGGTTAAATTAATTTATTTGGTTTAAACATCGAGTGAGAGTAAATTCTTACTTATCGGCCTTTTGAAGCAGTACTTTTAAATTTCACACTTTTTTGGGTATAATTTTGCAATTTTGCTTTAAAATTTGTTTTTCAACATGGTTAAGTGGTGTTGAAAGATTTTTAAAACTTGTGGTCTAATATATATATATATATATATAAATTATTATTTTATTAAAAATAAAAGAAGAAGTTTAAAATTAAATTATTTTTGAATTAAAAAGGTGTCATATGGGACCGATTTTAAAAGAAAAAATATGTAATATAAATTGAGACGGAGGAATATTGTCCTTTAAATTGGGCTACTAAAATCTTCATATCGTTCTTCTTAAAAGTGGCCCAACCTAAATGATACCTAAGGAATACATGTTGAATTTAAAGGCCCAATTTACAAGCCCACCTACTATACACTAGATTTATTCATAAATAGTATAATAATTAAGCAGCATCGAGTATCAACTGATAGTACCTGTATTAGAGTCTGACTATATTCAGATCCTTCATTGCAAGGCCCATTCTGAGGGCAGCGCTTCTAACAAGTTTTTTTTTTTCATATTCAAGACTCAAACTCGAGACCTTTAATCAAGCATGAAAAAACCCCAACCATCCTATCACAATCCATGTTAGTGACAAACAATCACATGATTGAGACATTATATTTTTAAAATCAGGAGAAAAGAATAAGTTAAGTGTTAAACATCTAAAAAGTTGAACCCATAAAATTTAAATTTTATATTTTCTTTGCATCGTAATGAAGATGTTGTCGACAACGAAAAAATATTGGATTGTTTACATAGAGGGGAGGAGAAAATATTAAGCTTATAAGTTTTGGACAACATATACATACCATCAATTTTTTTTATAATAACGTTATTTGTTCTGGCTTTTTAATTTTTATAACATATTGTTATTATAAAAAACATATAATATAATATGACACGAAATGTTAATTTTATATAAAAAAAAATATCTGTTATAATAAAATAATATTATAAAAAAAATGACTATTATAAAAAGATAATGATTTCTTTTAAATGATTAAAGAGGTGGAAATTTACATTCTTGTTATCTTCTCTAAGTCAGCATATGTATTAGTATCTGGACATCTGTTTCGAAAAATGAGTACATATAATAATTATATATATAGTAGTAGTATACAGCTCATGCAAATCTTGTGAAATTGATTTTCTCATTCATGACATCGAAGAATATTATGACATCCCAACTTAAGATAAGAAGTCTCATATCGAGAAAATATAGGAGAGATGTAAGGTATATAAGTAAATCTTACCAACTAGTGATATATTTTAAGGTTGTGCGGGCCTAGGTCCAAAACGAATAATATTACTGACAGATTGAGCCGTTACAAATATATATAGGGATGTTGGGTTGGCAAAGATTCTTTCGTCCTTAATATGAAATTTAGTATTCGAGTTTTTGAGAATGAAAAAAATTATCTTAAAAGCGTCGACTTAAGAAATGGACCCTGCAATACGTGAATTCGAATCACAAGAATCTAACGACGTGACAAATGTTTAGATTGTATTTCCGATATATATCTATATTTTCAAAAAGAGAAAATATGAAACATACGTAGCTATATTTGTGTTGATACATGTTTTATATCATGTTAATATCCGTCTGAATATAGTTTTTTCACTAATACAACTATATATGTCTAATGCAACTTTTCCACCTGATACAATAATTTGTAAATTTGCAAACTATAGCTATATTTCATGATTACACTCTAAACTATAGCTATATATGATATATATTTTTTTCAATTTTAGTCCAACTTTAAAAACAAAATACATATATAGTGATTTTTCAAGTAACAAATTATTTTAATTGAAGGCATGGAAATGACAAGTGTTGACCAAATCCGACATGTTACTATGTAAATATAATTAATTATGTGCAACATGGAACTAACTTTAGTCAATTACATATCACAATCAGAACTCACATTAATTAGCAAATTTAAATGCCTGACAGACCATTAAGGGTTGTGATTTAATTACCTGGTCCAAATCAAGAATTATTGGTTGTTTATTAATTTTTTGAGTGTAATAGGATATGTGGAATCTCATCCTTAAGTTGAATAAAAAAAAAATTAGTTAAAAGGTTTTGGGTTCGAATATGTCTGGTATAGAGTTGTCTTCCTTAGGAAGTGTTTTACTTTTGATGTGAGATTTTTTTACGCATATATGAATTTAGTTTGAATCTAATGCAGTTATCGAATACCGACGCAAACATGTATTCCTATTTTCTTCAATTAGAAAAAGAATTTTTAATAGAAAACTCTTTCTCCTTTAGTAATTCATACACGAAGTGAACATGAATTAATTAAGTAAAAATTACATAAATCTCACAGTGTTAAGGGATAATTAGATCATATTCCTATTCTTTTTCAAATTACAAAAATTCCTTAAAATTATAGGATCTTAGATACATCAGAAAATCTACGGATAGATAACTCATGGATTGCGAATAATACATTACTTAATGAGAGGGATGTATCCGAGAGGAGATAAGAATATATCCGAAAGGAAACATGAATTTATCCGGAAGAGGATATGAATATATCCAATCAGTGAATTTTGAATACCGAATAGATAAAAATTTTAAAAAATTGTATTATCGCAATGAAGACCGATACTACATATCACAATCTATATGGAATAACTTAACACTCTCACTCTTATTCACATATGTCGACGGAAGTGTGAACAATATAAAATGAGAATTTAGTATCGAGTAAATAAAAAATTGAGATGTACATGATTTGACACAATAAACTTTGAACCTAACGCAAAAGCAATAGCTCATTAAGCAGGAATTATCTAAGATCAGCACGAGAAGTGGAAACAGTCCAAAAATATTTTTAATATAATGTGATATTATTCGTATTGAATTAAGCATGCGTATAATATATCATTAACAGTATCCAATACATATAAATAGCTCGTTATTTTTTTAAATTATCATTGTGAAATTTTATTCGTACACTGTATAATCACCAGAAGTGGAAAATTGTGTTCAAGGGCCCATATATCAGATGCAAAATCTAATCTAATTATAGTTATAAGTCAAGATATAAAGATTGTTTTTTCCCAAAAGCCAATTAAAGTATTTCATGAATTCAACTATATATCATAATGAAAAAGGTACAATTTTCTTTAAACTTATCTTTTCCTATAGTGACTATCATAGGATATATAATTAGCATCTTGACATTATTAACATTATAATTGATATATGTTTTCAATTATGACCATTTTCATACATTGTACCAAATCAAAAAACATCTCAACACCAAAAAAAGTCCATAAAGATGCATACAAAAAATGAGGAAATCAAACAAAAAATTGTTCCCTTTTTTTTATTACCTAATGGGGAAGAATATTGATTTTCAACATAGCACCAAATTAGTCTATCTATCCACTTGAATTTTATGTTCCCCATTTACCTTCTTTTATAAAGTTGAATACTGTTTAATAATAGTGGTTTATTGATGATAGAAAACATACTGAAATCATGATTCTAACTTGAGTACTTGTACTTATTTGCTGATGCGGAATCAGGATTTGAATTATATGAATTTAAAATTTAAGAATAGTAATATCAGGTGTTAGTATATATTTGATGAATTTTGTTAATAGAAATACAAAATGTGAACTAAAATTACTATATCTGGTTGAATCAGTACATCAGTTTCTAGCTTTATCTCTGCTTATTCACAACCACAAAAAAGAAGAAGGAAGGAAACTCAAATAATATACCATCAAACTATTTATTAGAAATGACTCATTCATGCATGCTACTATTTGTTAATAATTGAGCATATTTATGTCATCACCCTAATAACTAAAATAGCCAATTTTGAAAAATCATAATTGAATATGTGTCATTCATTAAAATGGTTCAAATATTAACAGATGATACGAATGTATGAGATGCTTTTTTTACTTCATATACCCCCAATGATATGAGATTATTTGCTTCATATGACCTTTTTTTTGAAGATATTATTTAATTATGTCTATGTTAACTCAGTGGACTAAATTTCTACTTTAAAATATAAAAATAGCGTTTACAGACCATTTTTTTTAAATAGCCCTTTTCATAGTATTGCAAATTCCACAAAAATAATTTCATGACAATATTCTAAAGTTTCATCCATAGATTCTGAAGTTCTATAATAATGATTATTTCTCCGTTATAAAAACCGAAAAAGTGATTATTTGTGAAATTCACCTCTTTAAAAGAAATTTAGATGAATTCTTTTTCTTTTTTAAGACAAATTAATTTAAACTAATCAACAACTCTCATAATTTAAATAGTAGCCACAAAAAGGATCATTTGTACAATTTCCCTCCATTGCAATGGAATTATAACACATCCCATGGATATTGTTTTCCAATTTTTTTTTTAATGGAAAGTCAATTTCCTTCAATTACACTTCTTGATTTTTCTAATAAAAAAAAAAGACTAGTGAATTTCAATAAGTTGCTCATAATAAATTTGTGCAACATTTGCAAAATACAAACCAAAGGGTGCTCTCTAATTTTTTTTAATTTTTTTTTAAAACACTATTAACTGATTAGTATTCATAAGATATATTCAAATCCATAGTAATAATAGTAGTAAATCAAAGGGAAAGTCTGAGCTCCAAATCTAAATCTTGACAGCCATTTGATTCAGAATTTTGACTATTTGAACCAATAGAGTCACTTCTATCTTCCTTTCTCCTCCTTTCCATTGAATCCTATAAAATAAAATAACCAAAAATAAAATAAAATTACAATCAATTTTATTATTTCATTGATATTAACTTAATTGCAACATCAAGGATTGTGCTGAGATAAAATCCACAAAAACCACTTTGTTACTCGTGTAATTGAAATGTAGCATGTTATGGAGTTTCAAATTTCACAGGTAAATTTAAGGATATTGTCATGCATAAAGGTTTATATGTGAAAATTGAAACTATATGACGATACCAACATGGGTTGTGGTACACTGGTGGGAGTGTTTCACCATTATTCAGAGGTCTCAGGTTCGATCCCTGGGTATGGAGAAAATACTGTTGGGAGAGCCACCCCCGAATGGGCCCTGCAGTGCGTGATCTAGATTTAGTTGGAGCTCCAATGTGGGCTCCGGACATCGGGTGAGAAACCAAAAACCTTCCACGATTCCACTCTCACTATCAGAAAAATCGCTCATTTCAAATAGACGATATCACATCAGAATTTGGCTTGTCGATAAGGATTTTTGGTTAAAAAAAGTTGTCAGGAACTTTACCCACAAGTCACATTCTGACGAAATCCGTCAAAAAAGGAGATTGTCTACTAGTGCCTTAATTAGAGGTGTTGAATTTGAGCCCTCAAAATGAAAAATAAATAAAATCTTGTGCTTCCCCTTTAATGAGTTTTATGTGGTGTAAATCTGAATTAACAAAAAAAAAACATGCAAATTGTGCCACATGGAATTAATAAAGTAGCAAGTAAAATACCTCTATTTGCATGTTGTGGTGATGTCTAGTCATATTAGGTTGAGCATACACTTGAGGATCATACACTGTGCCAGGATGCCATGTACTGAATTTAACCACAAAAGTAATTAGAATCATTTTGGTCAAGTACAATTGACAATATTTTATGGAGATTAATAAGTAAATTGTGAGATCAACAGTTCAAATTGTTCATTAATTTATTAATATTCCTTGATTATGAAATAAGCAATAATTAAGTACCTTGGTCTAGAACTAGGCTGAGAATCTCCATATCTGATATTTGCTCCATCAATGCCACTCATTCCCATCTGAAAAATTTTGAGATGAAGTGAAAAGGCAATAAAAATAGCAGTCCGATACACAAAACATTCCATATTTACGTAGATTCGGGGAATAGTCGTATCACAAGGGTTGTTATGTAGACAACATATTGGTTATTTTCACTGCTCAAACACGGGACCTATAGATCACATACTCACATACAAACAACTACAAGGAAATAATACTCTCTACATTTCAATTTACGTCTCTTACACTTGTAATTCTATTTTTTAAAAGAAAGAATATTACTTTCGATATACAATAACTCTCTTTAAAGACTACAAGATTCAAAAGATATTTTGATACACTGAACATAGGTCACAAGATTCATTACTCTATATATATTACTTTCTTAAACTTTGTGATAAGTCAAATCAAGACATATAGAATGAAACTGTACATAGGTTACAAGATTCAAAAATCAATCTTTCTTAAACTTTGTGATAAGTCAAATCAAGACATATAGAATGAAACTGTACATAGGTTACAAGATTCAAAAATCAATCTTTCTTAAACTTTGTGATAAGTCAAATCAAGACATATAGAATGAAACTGTACATAGGTTACAAGATTCAAAAATCAATCTTTCTTAAACTTTGTGATAAGTCAAATCAAGACATATAGAATGAAACTGTACATAGGTTACAAGATTCAAAAATCAATCTTTCTTAAACTTTGTGATAAGTCAAATCAAGACATATAGAATGAAACTGTACATAGGTTACAAGATTCAAAAATCAATCTTTCTTAAACTTTGTGATAAGTCAAATCAAGACATATAGAATGAAACTGTACATAGGTTACAAGATTCAAAAATCAATCTTTCTTAAAATTTTGTGTCCAATCAAATTAAGACACATAAAATGAAAAAGAAGGAAGTATGAAGTACCCCTAATAAAGAGGGAAAATGAAAGTAGAAGTGTATAAATCTCCTCCAAATACACATACTAGAATTATCTTTCACAATTTACTCATTTAAAGAGATACAACGGCCCGAGCGACTAGACTTAACATAAATGTAGCCACTGGAGCCATTTTAAAAAGGAAGAAATTAGCACTACTTGGTGAAATTGATTCTTTTAGAATCAATTTGCTTATATATTTGCTACAAAATTAGTGGTCAATTTTTCTATATACTGTATGGAAAAGTTTATGAAAAGAAAGATCCTTCTTATGCTCAAAGAGTTTCCAAGAAAAAAAATTCTCTTTTACAAAATGTAGAAATCTAAGTATGTATATCTAGGGTTAATAGGGATTAATTATCACATAAAAATTCAGATTTTTTTTTATTAATAACACTAAGATCACTATTTCTCTTTAAGATAAAATAAGAGTGAACTCATCAAGACAATCACAAAAAAAATGTGATCTAGACATATGGACAAAAAGTACATAATGTTTTGGGACATCTTCCCACATTATTGGAATGATAAAAAAAAAATTAGAAAAAAAAAACTTTGAGATCCTAAAGAAAAATAGTTCATATATCCAATAAATGTATTTCAACTGCATACCATAATGCCTTGGTGGTTGGGAAAACCATAAGTAGAAGAAGTTGTTGAGTATGAAAAAGATGAAGATGATGAATATGTTGCTTGTAGTCTCATATCCTCCTGCAAATATACAAAATCCGACACACACACACAAATATAAGAAAGAGTTGCATCAAAATCTTGAAAAAACTTAGAGGGTCAATAATCTAGTTCAAAAGAAAACAAACTTAGGGGATAGGGAATACTGTAGTGGCAGAGTCAGAAATTTAGACGTTATGAATTTTGAATCGATAAGAAAGTGAGTTATCCTGTTATGCATATACATATAACTCTATCAAATACTACTAAGTTTTAGCCTAACATATGAACTTATTGTTAGATCTACCACTAAAATTTTTTATTACACTATATATAAATAACAATCTAATACTTGTTTCTTACACATATAACTTAAAATTATTAGATCCACCACTAAAGATTTTTTTTTTTTGGAAGAGATAATTAGAGAAAAATTAATTTAATTACCTGTGTGAGATTGTTGGCATAAGGATTATTATTGTGAAGATAATTAGCACCCATTTCACTATGCAATCTAATTTTCTCTAATTGAGCAACACCAAGTCCTCTTTGTGGTTGCTTGTTTGGTTTTTCTGAATTATTTTTCTTGCTTTTTCTTGATGATCCTGATGAAGATGATGATGATCTTTCATTTACAAAGTTTGGTTCACCAAAATAATTGCTCCCCATATTTTCTAAAAATAAAATAAAATCAAGAAAATAATATTTGAAACTTTGAGAATTTTTTGAAGAAAGACGAAAGATTCAAGAATTGAGATGATTTTTAGCACAAAATATTTGTAGCATTATAAGGCTAAAACAATTAAAGAAAGAGAGAGAAAGATCTTCAAAAGGAGTAGTTTTTTTTTTAATTTAAAAAAAGATGACAATAATTGCATAGCTGGAAGAGATTGCATATAGATTTATGGAGATTGATTTGATTTATTCTTATATTATTGGATTTTATACCCTTAATTATTATTATTATTATTTTTCTCATCCAGTATTCAATATCTGCATTACAAATCGACTAAATCTGAATCACACATTACAGAACCTTCTAAGACGGGCCACGACGCTCCAAGATGATTTTTTCCAATATCAAAGGTACAAAGATAAAACTTTATACCTTTTACAATTTTTTTAATTTTTCATTCAATATCGATATTTATGAGATTTGACTATATAAAGGCTTATTTATGAAAATAACACTTCCAACGAAAAAAATACATTCTTAAAAATTCAAACTCGAGACCTAATACCTTTTACTTTTGCTAGCTAGCTCATTTTTGTGAACTTCTATAAAACTGTTTATCTCTATTATTATTATTATTATTATTATTATTATTATTTTTATTATTATTATTATTATTATTATTATTATTATTATTATTATTATTATTATTATTATTATTATTATTATTATTATTATTATTATTATTATTATTATTATTATTATTATTATTATTATTATTATTATTATTATTATTATTATTATTATTATTATTATTATTATTATTATTATTATTATTATTATTATTATTATTATTATTATTATTATTATTATTATTATTATTATTATTATTATTATTATTATTATTATTATTATTATTATTATTATTATTATTATTATTATTATTATTATTATTATTATTATTATTATTATTATTATTATTATTATTATTATTATTATTATTATTATTATTATTATTATTATTATTATTATTATTATTATTATTATTATTATTATTATTATTATTATTATTATTATTATTATTATTATTATTATTATTATTATTATTATTATTATTATTATTATTATTATTATTATTATTATTATTATTATTATTATTATTATTATTATTATTATTATTATTATTATTATTATTATTATTATTATTATTATTATTATTATTATTATTATTATTATTATTATTATATTATTAGTCAAGACTCAAGACTTTGATAGTGATTGTCTCTCTGATCATAAACTCATAAAATAATGCAATAATTCTAAATCATATATTTTCCTTTACGCGCTTCACCTCCCATGTTTCCTCACCCCCACTACTTTACCATTAGTAAATTGTTGTCGATATTCATTTAGGATTTCAATTAATCTAAAATTTTATTATATAGTCAGATTTCTTTATAATAGTCTTGTTTATTCTATTTTAGGGCTTATAGTGACCGCCTATAATACACATATAGTAACATTTGATAAAGGATATGATTAAAACAAATTAGTTATTATAGTAGTAATTTTACAAAAAAAAAAACTATATTGTTATAGAATAGATGTTGTTGTTAGTGGTAAAAAAAAGTTTTTATAGAAAGATAAAATATAACATAAAAATTGGTTTGAAAAAATATTACTAAACATTTATAATGACATTTATTAATTATACAGTGTTGAAGCTAGAAATTATAATATGAGATTTTTTCTTTAAAAAAAATAGAGGTTTATGTTAAATATATGTATTAGTGTAATGATTTTTTTAATATACTAGGAAACCTATTATGACAAATTAACTTAACCTCTACTCTTTTTTTTCACATCAAACCTAACCTTCTAATAGACAATATATTCTCCTAATTAACTTCAAATTTACAAAAAAAAATTATTTAAAAAATCCAAGTGGCGTGCTTCATACCCTAATAATTTTAATTATAATATTTTCATAATTATTTGTTTTGGATAAAATTTGGGAGAAAATCTATAGGAATTTGGTTGGTATATCATTAATTTAGGTAAGATGCAATCAAATTTATAATTATAAATAATGATTCTTTCATTAATGAAAATTAAAATTTCCTTCCATCTATGTAGATTTTCAAGTTCTTTTTTCAATGTACTTGCTTATCAAATTTACAAAAAAATCTCCATAGAGATTTTCTTCTGAAAGAGATGAAATAATTATTTATGCAACCTTATAGAAGATCTTCTTTTCTATTGTAATTAATGTAACAATATATTTCATAATCTATGGAGATAAAGCAAATGTGAGTTATGTTGGTGAGAATATATTTACTAGTCCCATTAAAACAAAAATAAATAAATAAAATGAGTTATACGGCATTATTAGAAATATATTGGACCAACTAATTCATATTTGCATCGCATACGGTAATTTATTGGGAAACGTTTTATTATCAGAAGTATTTATTTTGTTTTTAGGTTTTAAATTTGCAATCTTTATATGTAAAGGTGTCGAGAACTTATCCATTTCATTACCGTATGTTAAATGTTAATAATGCTATAATCAGTTGATAAACAAGCTAGATAAGTATCTTGTATTCATACGTATATATAATAATATATAAATATTGAGTGTGAATAAATATTATTTTGGAATCAAAAGGCTATGTAGGCATGCAAAACCATATCAAATCGAGCTGTTACACGCTATAATTTGTGGGTCATATATTATGAGTTGTTTTGTTGTGAAAAAGAGAGAATAATGATCATTTGTTAAACATACATGTGAACTCAATAAATTACAAGAAAACAAACCAATCAATTCCTTAAAATGATGTCATTTATTTTTTTACTTTCTTAAGTGAATAATAAATTAGTTCATATGAAGGTTGAAGTAAATTTAAAGGAAAATTCAATCTAGTAAAAAATTCAACTTAATTAGAATATGGTTCGATTAAGCCAAATATCCATTTGTATTAAGGTTTATTAGGATTTAAGGTATAAAATATTTATTAATAATTTCATGAACTAATTTTTTGAGTGGAATTATATTTCCTAATATTTGTTTTATCCATTATATATATATCAGGGGCGTATTTAGGTGGTGGGAAGGGAATTGTCTTGAATTTAGTAACTTTCGTGGAGACTTTGTAATTATATTGAAATTTATTAAATATAATTTTTTTTATTGAAAACTCATTAATAAAAAAGAGAAATATTGAAAATATCCCTAAATTCAGAGCTAATTATTAGTTTCATCCATGAAATATTGACAGCAAACACTCTTTTACTTGACTAACTGAACTTAAATACACCCTCGATCTTGCAACGTGAGTGAATTACACCTCTAGGTTCTCATCAAGTTTAAGGTGTTTTCAACACTTCTCTCGGTTTTTTATGAAGAACTGCATGCTCCTAGTTATATCATGTGGCCGATCGGAAGTGTATCCAAGTTAAGTTAGTCAAGTAGAAGAGTATTTTTAAGGCTGTCAATAATTAAAAAACGAAACTAATAATTTACGCCAAGTTCAAAAGTGTTTTTAATACATCTCTCTTGATTAAATAGTATAAATGAAACTTGTTTTTGCTTTTCTATCCTTCTTGATGGGGATTTAATTCCTCTTAAGACACATAATAATTTTTTTTAAATGAAATTATTATAAATCGATCGAGTTCAAATTCTGAATACACTTAATTACATTCCATTGTATTAATTTACTTCTAGAAGTGGGAACACAACATAAATTCATAAAAATGTATTCCCTAGACATGAAGAAACACAATGACCCTCGAACCTTTATAAGAGAATTTGATTAGTTTAACAACATTATTAACTAGAATTTAATTATTTTATTAGATTATGGTTGATATGGTGTCTAGTTGGATTGATATGGAAGTGTTGGGTTATTCTCTTTCTTATGTTTTAAAAATATATTTTTTTCTCTTTCCAAGGGATTTTGTTTAGCAAATCCTGTAGAGTAATGTATACTGTAGTTTTGCATGTGCCCACAAATCTACAGTAGATATTCTTCCACTATTTGTTTTGCCTTTGTTTTTTTAATATCCTTCCTACTTAATATTTTAGGATATTATTATTTCAAATCCCTAAATTATTGAAAATAAAAATTTTGCTTTTGGTCTTTATGATATATGAATAAAATAACAATAACATATGTAGTGAAATCTAATAAGAATTATGTGTATACCGTCTTACTTTTATTTGTGTAAAAGTAAAGAAGTTGTTTCTGATAGACCTCCAACTCAAGTAATTACGCACATCAGAATCAAGTATGCAAAACAAATACATCAGTGAAATAATCATATACTAAAAACACAATGGAGAAGAGAATAGTAACAAACACCAAATAATAATATAATAATCAAAGCAAAGAAAACAACAAGTAATTTTAGAATCGAGGAATACGCTAATAAAAGTGTAATAATAACAATACTATGATTCAGTATATTTAATGAAAATGTGTGTCCCTTCACATAGAAAATAAATTATTTTTGACTATTTATATAACTATATTGTCGTCCATATTATGGAGTACTAATATAATTTTGACATAACACATATATAATAAAGTTGTGGAACAATTAACAAGTATCGTAAATATGTGAATATTCACAAATAAAGGAATGAGTGTACAATTCAATAAAATAAAGATTTAATATATTTAATCAGATATTGTAGAATCTAAAATCACAATTTATCAATAACTTATGGACCAAAACTGCTATATTCTTAATATTTTTCATTTGCTAGAAAATCGAATCATTACTACTAACAACTACATCAAATCTCCACCTAATCAACATATAATCCCTTTGTTTCCTCCTACGATTGCTTTATTTATTTTTTTAATGTTTATTATTGTACTTATTGATCCTTTATTGTAATTATTATGTTTTTTATGCTATAAAAAAAGATTAGGTTCTGCATAACCATATTTTTTTAATAGTGATTATGAATGAAAGTAAGGTGATTCTCCAATGCTATTAAAGTATTAATTACACTTTATGAGACAAACTTTGGGCTCTACATGTCTAGGCTAATCCACTTTTTACATTTATACTTTTTAAGTAAATATTTTATTGTGATTTTGAAGCACAAAAAGAAAAAGAAATAAAAAAAGAGGCACCTTTATT